GGTTAGGATCCATAGGGAAGGAACACAAGTGTGGAACTACCATTTAAGTTCTTATCCCACTCACAGTCAGAGTATGACGTGGAGGTTTCTAGTCTTGTTTTGTGAGACTGTCTTTAACAGCGAGAAGACCCATGCAGCACGCAACACACCAGGCCATGTCAAGCGTATTCAATTGTAATATATGTGCAAACAGATGGCTTTGTCATGGTCATCCTCACTTGCCAGCATGTGACAAGTTTTATCAAAGCCAAAACATCGACATGTGACACGGTCGGACTCTTTACCTAGGTAGCAAAACCGTGTCCATGGCATGAGTGTCTCCAAGGTAGCTATGCCATGCACCATGGGGTGTGGCATCTGCCATGCACCGGTCCGTCTTCATGTCTTGGTGTCTCCTCTAGCTTCGCAACGCGCGGCAGCAAGCCCCCTTGGCAGGCACCGGTCAAGAACACCTGTTCAAGTCGCGCCACTCTGTCAACGAGTGACAGCACCATGGCAATGCGCGGCAGCCTTCTGGATACAATATAGGAGATTCCACAATCCAGTCTCAGAGATGTTAACATTGACATTACTATATTTAGACATATTTGGATTTTAACTAATATATCATTTAGATATTGGCCCCGTGCTTGCACCTATATGTGTCCGTTCTTTTGTGTTGTTTTTTGACTGTCGGAAACTGCACAATTGCTCGCCTTCTCATCAATTGAGGTCTTTTCTGTCTTGATGTTCTTCGCTTTTTCATCTCTCAAATGCCATCCCACATACCGCGGACGATACTACATGTGTAATCCATTTCACGTCAAAAACGTTGATTCTCGAAAACCATGCGGTCACATCACACTCTGTACAATCCTGCACCCCTAGGAAGACGCTCTTCTTTCGCACCAACGGAACACGCCGCGAAGCTCAACGGGAGCTGAAGCTCGGATGCATCGAGTGGCATTCTCCCGAAGCAACTCGTCCACACGGGCCTGGCGGAGACATTTTTGCGCTTTCGGGAATGGACCATGAACTGCCGCGTTCGCCACTGAATCTACAAAGTCGTTCAGTGCAGCTATGACCAAAGAAGAAAACACCCATCCGTCACAACCAGAAATGGCCGGAAGCATAAAGACAAGGCCTCCCTGAGTTCTTGCTATTGAGCCATGTGCAAGTGCCTTGGAAGAAAAACTTACTGTAGAAAATCTAAAACGACTCGGCATTAGCTGCCAAGAACTCTTCTGGTATTCTTGTCAGCATAAACGATTGCAAATCAAACCAACTTAACATGTTAAAGCTGGCGGAGGCCCAACGTAGCATTTTCGTTCCCCCTCCTTCCACTCCCTCTCTCCCTGGCACAATCCTTTTCACATTGATCAAATGTGGGGCTTCTGTACATCCTGGAGCCCTGTTTTCTGCTGGAACTGCGAGGGGCGGATCAGATGGAGTGACTTGGCCGCCAAACCATCGCCTCGTGGCCTGACTTGGGGGGCACTGATGTGACGCAATCCGAATTCGTTTTCTACTTCGCAAACTCCAAGGACCTGGCATTGGGAGCACGACCACCTTCTTTTTGTGAGTGGTCTCTTCGTCTAAACGGCGAAGAGAGGAACTTGGGATGAATGGAAAGCATCCAGTGGAGAAATACCCTCAACAGTGGAAATATGAACCTAGTAACAAGAAGCAATGCTACTAGGAGCAAGAAGCTAGCAGTAGGTCCTGTGGGGAAAAACGGGGGGGGCCTTCCCTTCATGCTTAGAGCGAGTTTTAGGAAGACCCGCCCAATTTGGGTGATTTTGTAGGAGTGCTTGGCTTCTTCAGAGTGCCATTGTCTGACAAACCACTCAAAGTCAAATCGCTTCCAGTCACTCCGCTATACAACCACCTCCAGTCAAGACGTGGTGCCAATCGTCAGGTAGATGGCCGCTTGAAACGGTTCAGAAGGTTCCGGGAGTTCATGGATCAACAAGATTGGGGTCTCAAAAATACATCCAAACATGCAAAGCCACATGCGAGAGGGAGATAAGTCGGAGCCTCCTCTTCTGATTGCTCTGCCAGGGCCCACAAAGAGGGCATGTATCTATATATAGTTGTTTTTTGTCACAGGGTTTCTCTTTCTTTCTCTCCCCCAACCGAGTCGAACCATGAGCGGGGATGAGCGGGGCTGCTGGGCTTTTCGGGCTTCACGCGCCAACAGCGGCGGTATTTGTGGCTCACTGGGTTCGCAAATTCCCAGTGCCCTGAGTTGGGGGGGTTCTTGAGAAACTGCAGTTCAGGCTCTGGATTTGGGATATTTGGGAGGCCGCGTCCATCGTCAATTAATGAAGCAACTCTTCTGGGCCACGAAGAGACATCGAACAACAGTAGCTTGACATAATCCGAACACCACTTTCACAGCAAACCAGTCAAATTCTGTGTCCACCTCTTGATTTGGGGTGCAAATCCCTGACTTAACATTTCATGTTGCAATTATTTGAGACCACGTATCCAATCAAGACCTTTTGAATCATTGTATAGAACAACAGAACAACATAGACACAACATAAAACATATATTCTTTTTACTTCATCAGTTCCGAAAGGGCACCAACAACCCTGTTAAACTCTGAACATCAATCTGACCTACACAACTCGGTGCTACGGCTAAGCCCTGCATTTCATGTTTGATTGGCTTCAAACCCAGGCTCCATCCGCCAAGTCTGCAACCAGGACCAAAACTATGGAATCGACCTGAAACTCAACGTCGCCGTCTTCTCCAGGTCCTCCCAACCCTCTGAACGATTGTGCCTAAACAAAGCTCAGCCTGTTCTCAGGGTCCCACCCCGCCTGCGGCGGGTGGTTCTTCCCGGCAAGTGGGCGGAGCGGCTACTGCGTAAATGGTCAGCGACTTCTGGCCAGTGGCTGGACTTCTTCCAAGTACATTCAAAATTGGAGCCAGCAAGGGATTCCAACGAAATCTTACTCCTTTGGCACCTTTTCGGATGAAGAACATCGGCCGTTGTTTGGTACATAGTCCAACCTAACATTGTTTGACCCATGATTTGATATGATTTCATATATCATCACTCCAAACCCTGAATACCAAGAAATTTGGAACCATTTTTCTGGTGTGGGCCGTTAAACACAAACACCACAAAACTTCCGTGCCTACGTTTTTGTACTGATCGTACGTGTGGTGTTGAACGTGTGGCTGCAGCGTCGCTGCATTCACGCGGCTGCGACGGGCCCCGTGTGGCTCAGGGCTTCGCCAGGGCCGTGTTGCGGCTCGGCTGCGCCCGGCTGCGGCCGGCTGGTTGATGGTTCACGCGTTTGCTTCTCTTGTTGCCAGGGCCTTTGGTATCAGCCAGACATATTTAGCTACATTGGGGTTGACCTGGGGGCAATGTTTCATTGGTGCAAGGTATAGAATCTGGATGAATCTGGAATCTGGAATCAGACAAGGGTACAGTATCAGTACACAAAAAAACACAAGCAAGCAACCAAAGGCAAGCACCACACAAACTTGGAGGGAATCCACTCAGAAGACCCACAGAACCAAAGCTTGGAAGGTTTAACTGTGGATCTAAAACAAATACACACCCAGCCTTGGAGATCACTCAGAAAAATCCGACATCAAACCAAAACCCAGCTTTGGGGGATCGCTCAGAAAAAACAAGTCGCTCAGAACCCGCACCCAAAACAAGCTTTGGGGGATCACTCAAAAAACACGGGGCGCTCAGAACTCCCACCCGAACCAAGCTTTGGGGGATCACTCGGAAAAGAAAGTCGCTCAGAACTCCCACCCGAACCAAGCTTTGGGGGATCACTCGGAAAAGAAAGTCGCTCAGAACTCCCACCCAAAACCAAACTTTTGGGGAGTACTTAGAAAAACAATGAAAAACACATCATTCAGAACCCCCACCCAATCCAAGCTTTGGGGGATCGCTAAGAAAAGCCGAGCAACAGTCCATCGAAAACCAAGCTTTGGGGGATCACTCGGAAAAGAAAGTCGCTCAGAACTCCCACCCAAACCAAGCTTTGGGGGATCACTCGGAAAAGAAAGTCGCTCAGAACTCCCACCCAAACCAAGCTTTGGGGGATCACTCGGAAAAGAAAGTCGCTCAGAACTCCCACCCAAACCAAGCTTTGGGGGATCACTCGGAAAAGAAAGTCGCTCAGAACTCCCACCCAAACCAAGCTTTAGGGGATCACTCGGAAAAGAAAGTCACTCAGAACTCCCACCCAAACCAAGCTTTGGGGGATCACTCGGAAAAGAAAGTCGCTCAGAACTACCACCCAAACCAAGCTTTGGGGGATCACTCGGAAAAGAAAGTCGCAATCTCACCAAAACCGAGCACTTTGGGTGATCAGTCAAAAACGTATCGCTCGGGGACCTCAAAGAAACCAAGCTTTGGGGGATGAGTAGCCTGGTGGGTCAATCTAGGTTTCAAAAGAGCTATCAACTGCCCGGTACTTTGCCCGGTACTTTCAAGGTTTCCGAAAAAGTTAACGGTTACTCTACTTTGAGTGGTCCCGACCATGACAACTCAATCAATTTGTCTTCATGCCATTGTGAGGAGCATGTTGCCATGGTCGTGAGCTTTGTGGTTCTCGACTTTGTTCGTGGGTCCTCCGGTTGTGTGCTGTGATTGTGGTTGTGTGCTGTGGTTGTGTTTGTGGGTATTTGTGCAGTGATTGTGTTTGTGATTGTGTGTTTGTGTGTTTGTGTATATGTTTGTGGCTTTGTTTGTGTTTCTGGTTGTGTGTTTGTGCTTGTGGTTGTGTGCTGGTTGAGGTCCGGCGGGGAACACTACCAGCCCCTCGGCTCGCGGTTGTTCGGACGACGCGGAGGACGAGAAGGACGAGGAGGAGCACAAGGAGGAGGGCACGAGCTGACATAAAATATAACAATCCTCAGACTCACTTGACAGGTGGGGGAAACATATTATGACCATTTATTGACCATTCTATGTGCAGTTCAGGATCTCTACAACATTGCACGATATATTGCAAAGGATGTGCTTCCAATTCACCTGCAACGTCGAGGATCGTGGGAGTTCACCCTCAAACAGCCGGTCCCGGGCGATGCTCAGGTCACTTCAGTAGCGTGAAGCACCTGGCACTGGCACATGGGAAGTGGCAACGTACCCATCCACAAAAAGCCATAACAAAGAGAGCAGAGAGCCCACAGTTTGGAGTATGTCCACCTCCCAAGAAATGGTTAGACACTTTTTGAACCCCCGTGAGTCATCTCTGAGGAGCTATATTAACAAACACCCCTTGGGGGGACTGTGGTATGTGTTTTCTTCGACCCAAAAGAGGTGAGGAGTAGGGGTTCTTTTTCACCAGCCGACCGAGCGTGGATCCTGACCGTATCGCAGGAGCAGGGAAGCACGGACCAAGCATCGAATCTATCCTGCAAGTGACCTACTTTCATGGCCTATCCTGGTGCTGGGAAGGACAATTCTGCAGGGAACGCGCTCTAGTTTCAGAAACGCGATCTGAGGATATTTGGGGGGTGACTAAAAGGCCAAGCATCTGTGAAATCCATTATGATCCAGTAAGTTTCATGAAGATTGTCATTTCATATGTCACCCATCCGCTTCATACTCCTTGCTTCAAACACGGAGGATGACCCTGTTTAGGTGACCCCACCACCCCACCACCGCCTCAGGTCAAGCTCTGCCTGGCTCGAGCCAAGTGCTCCTGCGAAACGGGGGGAGGTCGCGCCACCCCACCCAGCGAGAATCGTCTCGGTGCTCGGAGCGGCATCCCGGCGGGAGTAGACTACGAAGCTTAAGTGGCAATGTTCGCTACAAACGGACCAACGGAGCAGGTCATCGCCCATCGCTACGAACGGAGCAATCGGACGCTACGATCGGGGCTCCTGGCCTTACTAGTAACAAGAAGCTACTAAATAACAAGGGCATGACTGACTACTAGTAGCAAGTCTACTGGCTTCAAGGAGATGAACATGAGTCGCCCTGTTTTTTCTGGATGAGTCGCCCGCGCGCGTTCGGTGTCCCGAAACGGCTGAGATTCTTCCAGAAAATGCACGGTCAAGCGCTGGTTGGGGTCAAAGCAAGTCAACTTGGCCTGGCGGAGCATTGTGCGGAGCATTGCGGAGCGCCGGTGTCCAGAACGAAGGGATTTCTGGGAAAGGTTAGCAAGAATGGCACTTAAGCAACTATATATGACCTTCATCATCTGACTTGCTGAGAGTGGAGCTCTTTCAGCAAGCTGGAAGGTATACTCACCAACAGACTCCTCTTTGTTTCGATAAAATCATGTGGGTTTGAGAAATCCCAGGTCGTGGAAGAGTCATTGGAGAGCAAACCACTCAAGAGTCAAGAGTCTTGGCTGGCGTCTTTGGTCTGTTCTTGGACGAACTCTCCGCCGACCATGTTAGTTTGATTGAAAGGTACAGGGTCTTGGTATCACTCAATCAATATGTGGCAGTTCAATTCTTCAACTTCCTTCACTTTTGATCATTTAGGAATTCCTTTTTTGAGATCAACTTCCTCCTCTTTCTCTTCAACTTGAAAACTTTCTCAAAGAACCAGTCTGAACGCCACGAAAAACCTAAGTGCCCGACGGCGCAATCACCCAGGACCTGCACCTAGCGAGACGTTTTTCCATACACGCCAGGCAAGAACTGGGGAGAGAAACCCAACGGTTCTTCTACGATATTATCCTCTTCCCCATTAACAGTGGATGATGATGGTTAGTGAATTTTAAAGGAACTTTCTCTAAAAATAGTGACAATTGCTTTCCAACTGTTACAGGTTCCCTGGCGATCACCCCCAATCCGGTTCTGTGGCGATCAACAAACAGAATTGGAATAATGGGACGATCAATGACGACCAACCAGTCGTCGACCAGCGCGTCTGCTTTGCATGGTTTTGGGCTGTTTCAGGCCCATCCATGATCCCAAGCGTCAAAGAATGATCGGATACTTGTAACTTCTCTCACAAGTTGAGAAGAGGAGTGTCACACGCGTAGTCAATCAACCTAAATCTAGTGACCTGAACGTCTGTCCTCTCATTTCGCTTTGACAACAAACCCAGATGGTCAGTCCTCAAAGGTGCTTGTGAAGATAGAACGCAGAATTCCTTGAAACTCCCCCCATCTCTTTCTGGCCACAGAGCTGGGGTTTAGGGTTTAGGGTGGAGTCGGGTGAAGGCTTTGGATGGTTTTGGAGAGTCCACAAAGCCACAGAGCTGCCACCATTGAACCGCGCCTCTGGCGTCGGCCAGGAGGCTTGCGCATCGACCATGGAGGCCTCAGGGTCAGGGCTCCGGAGCTGCGCAAGGACAAATGACGTGAAATGGTCCTTCCTGGTCAAGGGGGCTGCATGCAACATGTAACATCATGGTTTCCTGTCAACACAAGCACCATCACCAGCTGACTATTAGGTGTCAAACTTGGTGAAAGACACCAAGTGGGCCTGCGATACGGCGGAGTCGCAAAGTACGACGAGTACACGACCCCAGCTGTGATTTGCAGCACCAAATGGACAGATTGCTGTGACCACAAAACGGGGTACCATCCATAAGATCCACAAGCTGCTGATGGCATACCCAAACACATTCAACCCAGAAACAGGGTACTACTACCTGCTCCTCCAAGCCATCGGTGAAGTCTTGTTTCTTGTGAAAATCACGTCCATAATATGTGGTTTGCCTATTGCCAGTACCTAGCTCAATCACTCGCGAAAAAGGGCTTGTTGACCATGGCCATCAGGAATGGCTTGGCCATCCGATGTTCAAGGTTGGAGAAATATGGTTGTCCAAAACCAATTGTAGACTGTTAGTAACATAACATTATAATTTCAGAAACCAAATGACACCTGTCGGAGGATGCTGGTAGATGTATCCAAAGACCTCTTCGTTTTCGCGTTCTTTTTCCACACGCCCGACATCCTGGGCCCGCACGTCGAAGATGCCATCTGAGACAGCAGCATCGCCAAGGGCCTTGGACCACACCGCGCAAGCGGTGTTGACCGGTGCTTGGTCAAATGCACGATTCTCTGGGGCAGAAGTTCTGTACCAGGGCCCCCCGGCTTGGGGTGTCGAATTATAGCTCCTTAGAGGTTAAGCGGTATCCGGTATCCATTCACCACCCCAAACCGGGGGCTCTGGTATATTGGGATTTTAGATGTTCTTCTCTTTAAGACTCGTTTTAATATGTTTTAATCACCATTTCCTTTTGGATGACGGGTCCGGGTCCCACCCACTTCACTGAGGCTTCAGCCATGGCCTCCCGGCCCTGGCGTGGGAGTCGAAGCACGTCGAAAACATCGGATGTGTCACATCGGGCTCAGAATGGCTCAGAATTTCTTTGGATTTTTTTTTTGGGGAAGAGATATTTCATGATGCTGGCCTTATGAGTTTATCGACGGTACCCCCAACCTTGCCTTCAGCCTGCCAGCATCCCATACCTGGTTGGCCTCTCCCTTGGGCCTCTCACCGAGTCAGAAAAGCCGCTCGACTCTCGACACACCGAGTCACGAGCTTGCACGCGGCCGAACAAGGAACAAACCGAGCGACACCGCAAAAGTCGCAGAACGCTGTGATTTGCTCCAAAGCACGATTGAAACTCAAACGGCCTTGTAAGGTCCGAGGTGGGTGATCCTACCCCTGTGTTGTGTTTGTCAAAAAGACACACGTTTGAAGGAGTGTTCCAGGCCTCATCCCAGGCAGGTTGGCCAGTGAGGATCTCCAGACTGGCATCGTGTGCAGATGGAGATTGTACATTATCCTATCACTACTGTGGTGGATGATCATGTTGAAAGTGGACCACATTGCTAAGAGTGAAGTGTACATTAAGATGCAAAGTCTTACAAATATGTGGAGAAGTTTGGCTTACTTATATATATATATATTATATATATAAGTGGATGGGCAAAAGATCTGGGACCCAACTAGGTCATTCATTGAACAAATGCATGGCAGCTCATGCTAGCTCTGTGCCCCCGGTACCACCAGAATAGAACGTGGCCAAAGATCTTTCCAACTGGTGCAACCATCCACTAAAGGCATCAGTGTACAGCTATGCAAACCGCAAATATGAAGGGATCAGTACAACTGGATGATATTCACATGTGTGTATAGAGAATCTGTACACATCATGATGTTCAAGAGCCAAACATATAAAGGACTTATATGATGACCTGTGTTTGGCCCTCGCCGCTGGCACCCTTGTTCTCTGCCATTGGCCAGCCCTTCTCCCAGACGCCACGGCGGATCCATCCGCTTCTGGCGCCCGTCCTCCCCGCCCTTCCGCCACGGCGTGTCCCTCGACACGCACGACACTCCCCCCCCGCACATCACGACGCCGAGTGCAAAGGCGTCGGTCTTCTCATTGGCCGGGCGCATCATGAGCTCGGGAGCCATGTAGCCAGGGGAGCCCACCTGGGCGGAGAGACGCCGAAAACGAAACGAAAACGGAAGCGCCCAAGGTCGGAATTACGTTTCCAGAACCGACCAGGTTCTATAAGGCACGCTAGTTGAGTGAGACATGAACAGAATCCTAAATGACACATGCACCTCATATGCATCTGCTTTTTCTTTCATGCGTGTGAGGCATTGAACCTTGAGCTGTGCACCTCTGTTGCGAGCTTCGGCGTGGGCAGGTCTAGGAGGCGACCCCAAAACTTTCCATTCGAAGTAGTGATCAAACATGGAAGGGCAATATCCAGCCTTTTGAGCCATGTTGAACATTGAACCCATCAACTGGAGGTCAAAACGTTGCAGTAGATCGCTGGATTGATAGACATGTCAGAGACATCCTGTCAGTCTCATGAATTCACGCTTTGCAGTACATGCCATGAGGGTCCGATCTTGTGGTCAAGGAGCCTCCCTATCGTCGTTCACGGCAGGCGAAGCGGCGAAGCCCTTCCCTATCTCCTGCTGTTCCACCTGAACGGCAGGAGCACCATCATCCGACCTCCACAGCCTTCCCACGTGTGGTTTCAGAGGTGAATGTAGGTGAAGCCATGCACGGAATGTTTTGGGAGTCATCACAGCTTCGATGAACGACGCTCGAGGTCAGCGAGGTCGAAGCATCCGGGATTTGGGCCAACCGTTTAACCGTTGGAAGCCGCATCAGCCTTGGCGACGCCTCGTCACTAACACATTCTGTGCTCACTTGAGATGCGCAATGTAGCTTGGACTGGTGAAACCGGGCAAAGAAAGCCGTCTAAGTCTATGGCAGGTCCACTCTGCCCATGGCGTGCAGGTCCGGTCACTTCCGGTCGCTCTTCCTCTTGGTCCGGTCGACTTCCGCTGCTGCCGTCCATCTTCTCTTCTTCCGTTCGTGGAACACGTGAGCCCCAATGACGATGACAACAACGGCGGATGATAAATGGAACACTATAACTATACACCATGCATAAGACTATCTTTTATATATAGATTTAATAGGTACATGCGATTCCACGCGGGTACAGTACATGCCACACAAAAGTGCTCGACTCCCACCCCAAAAAGTGGTGCCTCTGGACACACCCCAAAATCCCCCCCAAAATCATCCCAACAAATCCAAGAAATAAGCTCCGACTCGTCCGAACCCCCCCCCCGATCAGACTCGGGAGGTAAACCTCGTTTCTCCATCCCCATCGACTCGATCGCCAAGGCGCCACGATTCCAGTGGTGCCATGGCGAGAGCCCTTCACCTGGTGGAGCCGAGGCGACCGGAGGTGGCCCATGGCTTGGCCCATGGAGACCGACTGGGAACGACCGGATCAGATCGCCACCCACACGATCTGGGCACATAGCCGATGTTCTCTTTTTCAGCTGGATCTTTGGAGTCCTCCCATTCTTCTAAATGGTAAAAAGAAATCCATTGGTCATTCATTGGGCCTATCCTATTGCCTGTAACAGTGGATTTTTTCCGCTTTGCATCTTAACGAAGTGAAATAGAGTGGTATTCACTTCCAGACAGTTGGTCAGTGTTCACGTACCAACAGCCTAATCAGAACAAATTACAAATTGGAACACGAATGCGTCAATGCAAGGCTGGCATGCAAATGTAAGGACCAAGACGTCCATGGGAAGTCAATGCTCAAATGCGTGAAGAAAACTTCAGTGCTGCTGGTCCAAAATACAACGTACAATTTGGTCAAAAGACAAATTAAGAGACTCTGGGTGTTGTGGCACGGGCAAACCAGAAACACGCCAATGCAGGTTGAAATGTCTGGAAGGCGGTGAGGCCTGTTTTAGATAGGCATCCAGGGCTAAAGCAGAATCAAAACCAGAAGCAAGTTTCGGTCTCCCCTTCAGGGCAGGGAACCAACCTCTGATGCCAATCCAGTTCAGCTCATCTGTACGATCAATCTTTTCCCGGTCATGGCCAAAGGGATACACGCCATGGGCGTGTAGCCACTTGAGACAGAGAATGAAAATTTTTGACTGTGCCGCCAAGGTCTGAGGACCTTTTGCGTCAGCTTCTTTGGAAACATCTTGTAATCTAAAATCAGAAACCCCTTTCCAAGAACGAGCTTTTCCGGGGGCCATGTTGACTGGAGCAATTGATTTTGTTGTGACTGAGAAATCTAGGTACAATTGTGCAAAGGTAATACGAGTAGAGCATGAACAGTTCGGCCCACACCAATGCAATTGTTTGGCCCACCAAAGTAACCGAAAACAAAAGATAGGATGGTAGGGGCACCTTTTGCACAGTTCAAGATCAATGTCAAAATTAACACTTTTGGAACGGGAACATGGGGCCCACTTGAGCTGGGCAGTAGCCAGGACGTCAGCTGATTGTATACGACCACGTGTCTGGTTGTCAAGTTTGTTTTTCTTTTTATAAGCATTAATGGAGTCCACCCAAACAGCAGCAACGAATTGATAAATGGAATCAAGCTGTTGTTGGGCTTGTTGTATACAATCAACAATGTGCGTGTGTTGATCCAACAGGGATTTGTTATCCTGTAAAAAGACAGCTTTAGCATGGTAATCGGCTTGCGAGTTGGCAAATGATTGAAACCGCAAGTTAGCATCCAAGATTTGGGACCACTGTTCATGTGCTTTAACTTTTTGGATAGAGACACCCAAGAAATTACGACAGTTTAAATGTCTCAATATTAAGGCCCAAACATGATGATACCCGGGTTGGATGTCAGGCAAGGCATGATGCAACAGGATGTAGTTAAACTGATCTACAGCAGTTTGACAGTCCGAAAACAGTGTTGCATGCCACGCATGGTTGAGTGCCAACAGAATTGCAAAAACTTCAGCTGTGTAGGAATTTTGTGCAATACCTACGACACGAGTGCGAAGAATGAGCTTGGTTGTCAAAGTGTCGGGAAATCCTTGAACGACAGCAGCTCCGGCCAGGGCGGTAATGGGATTAGTGCTACAGAAAGCTGTGCCATCTAAGAATAAGAGTGGTGCATTATGGGATTGTTCAGGCACTGCAAAAGGCAAAGCGCAATTTAAACATCCCAGGCATTCCTTGAAAGGCAGATCAATCTTATCGGGTAGGCCAAGCGTGGGCATGTTAGTGCCCAATGCTTGGCTGGACTCAAAAGTTACATGTGCCTGCACGCGTTGTTCATGCCACTGCGGGCAGTAGTAAATTCTGTGAATACGAGAATCATCATGTTCACAAAACGGGCATTGACCAGTAATGTCAGTTCGGAACACCTTGGAAGCATCTTGAGTCATGCGTTTGCCTGTGATGTAAGCACTAATCGGGGCCTGTTGGGACGGATTTAACTTACCAAAGGCAGAGTGGATGATTTCAAAATCAAACGGTGCTTGATGAAAATCTTTCCTATGGATCAAATGCGGGATTTGGTCATTCCACAAATGTCTACAAATGTACTTAATAAGTTTGGCACTAGTGTGTTCAACATGTAGGAAACCATATGGGGTGTCAATGCCAAAAGCCTGGTCCTGGAAGGCAGGGGTACACTTAATCTTGTCCAAGGCCAGACCCAAACTGACACAAGGGCCAGTAGCTTTTCTGTAAGAATGGTGAGTGGCTTGGATTGCATTTTCGATGGATCTTCTTCTATGTGGAAAAGTTCTGAGATACCTACGAAAACAAATTAATCTGTTTACAATATCTTTGTACTCAGGATCAAGTGGCTCGATGGCGTTGCAAGCAAGATACGGATTCGACCCACCTTTAGACCTCTTAATGGCTTGTGCAGTGGCTGTACGAAGCTCACCAAATGAATCCCTGGACATGATTGACACAGCAGCACCATACGTGTGCTTCGAATGTGCGGCAGCAACAGTCATGGTTTGCCTGAAATGATTCGGGACATTGATCTGACTGATTTTCTTACACTTATCGATGGTCTTACGAATTTTAAGTGCACCCTGTGGCTTCCTTCTTTTCCGTGTATAATTCTGCTGAACACCTAGATCCTTGGCAGCTTCGTGCATAGGGATTGAAAGGTTATAGGGGTCCTGACGAAGATACTGTCTACCTTCAGGATTATTGGACCACAGCCAAGACTTAGGCTTTGAAAGCTGCATCTTAATGGTGTTTAAGAATTTATTGAGATGGTCCAGTCCATGGAGCAAAGCTGCATGGTCGGCGTGTACGAAAGACCAATTATCAGCGAAGAAAAGACAGTTTGCATCAGGGACTTCTGCCAGGAGAACTTTCCAAGCCCAAATACTAATGGCAAGCATTGCAGGAACAGCAAAGGAGCATCCCTCTACAATACCAGTCGTGGTGGTAAATTCCTGACCAGCAGTACCATCAATGATGAAGACACGATGCATGGCGTCCATTGCAGAAAGGAATGCACCAACGATGGTCGGATCTGCACCCATTATTAGTAGCACTTGTACCAGGGGGTCTCTAGGTACCGTGTTATACGCTTTAATGAGATCGAGGACAACACCTGAAAGTCTGGCACCAGTGATGTTTGCTTCCTCAATCAACTCAGCATTTAACAAGGCAATCATTTCACTCGAAATTCCCAAGGACGGTCCACCAATCTGGCGTGGGAGGTTTGCAGTCAAAAAATTTGCGAGTTGTTTACCTCTAATTTTGCTCCAAAGCCTGTAAACTTTAGAAAGGATGGTAATAGGTCTAATGTCTAATGGGGACGTGGGCGAGTGACCTTTCGTGAGGCATAAGGTCTTGGCAATTACCCATCTGTGTGGCCATACTTTATTATGTTCCACAAGGCAAAGAATATGCGAAAGCATCTGCAAAATTGGCTCTGGCACTTTGCTAAGGTCAAGGGTGGTGAAACCATCACCCCCTCTCGCACTGAGTTTACTTGTCGATGCAATAGCTTGTTTGAGGTCACAAACAGAGATTGGGTGGTACTTCATGATCTGGTCGGTTTTGATGACCTCTAGATATTGATTAATAGCATGGAATTCATTCTCCTGCCTACTATCACGCTGGAAAAAGGCATCCCACTCTTGGTTGACTAAGTTGTGCATCTTATCATGGTCAATGGTCCAAGCATCCTGTGTGAGCACAAGGCTTGAACTCCGCAGGCGCAAAGGCTTATCAACAGTGATAACGGCACCTTCTATTTTTTTGATGCAGACTTCTTGGCCCTGAAATCGTATGGCATCCAACCGAAGGTTAGATACATCTTCAAGGATTATTTGGTGTTTACCAGTTTTTGGCCATTTTTGCCTTACAACTGTGAACTCTTTTGGGAAATGGACAAACTGCAAGGGCGGAGGTGGCTCATCGGCAATAGCACGAAAAGTCTGTTTGCCTCCCTGCTGGATGTCTAACAATCTATTTACATATCGAATGCGTCTGTTTTCACGCGCAAAATAGGAAGTGTTTGCGGCATGCCTTCCACGAAAGCGTCAGTGAGGCACCTAGCAAATTCAAGGTCTGGCAGCTTGAGTGGCAAGAAATTCGCACCATGCTGGAATGCCCAATGCGAAAAAGACTTATGAAAGCCTTTGGCATGGATTATGGCATTCCAAAGTACCACAAGTTGTTCTTCAGCTCTTTTAGATGGCTTCTTATAGAAACTATCTAATTGTCGAACCAAGCTTTGCAACCTATGGGCTTGACGAATATGCCTACGGTATTCAACAGTTGGCGTGGCAGTTCGAAACTGTACATCGCCCCATCTTGCGTTCTTTGGAGCAGGTTGATCAAGGTCAGATCGGACAAACAGTGGCCTCTTACCTCTTCCGAAAAAATCACGCTTAAAGCGAACAGGATGACCTTCACAGTCAACGGCTGATTCGGCCAGGGTGTTCTCGGCAATAGACGACCATAGCTCACACAAGCTATTGAGATCAGGCGAATGTGTAAGCTCTTGGATGATTATGGTTAGTAACGGCCTTGTCCAAAAATAGTAAGGTTTGTTTACTGTTACAGGTATTAGGACAAACCCCAGTCATTCCATAGTCCTCTCATAATCTCTCCCAAACCAGCATCGTAAAATCAAAAGGACGTCATGGACGTCTAGCTCTATGCAATCAGGACAGGTAAGTCCGGTTGAGAGGTTAGCTTCCTCTCTTTTTGGTGCCCTTTCTTCGTTTCTGAGTGCATGCTCATCATCTTGCTGATACTGATATATAGCATGTCCACCTGGAAAATAACAACTTCATCCACTCTGTTCCTTCTGTGGGGCATACTCTCCATGAACTAACAACATAATCAAACTTGTTCCGTCAAAAGCTACCCTCCATGGATACTCGAGGGATTCGGGGGTTCGAAAATCAGGCCGACCTGGCCCCTTCCTCTCAACTGAGAGGAGAAATACCATAAAACCGAAGTGCTGCGTGACGCTCTGCCGCCTGATCCTTCGCGAGCCCAAAATCCGCTAGGCGTGCGTGTCGGCGTACCCGGTCGAGGAGGATGTTACTACCTGAGCGAGCGAAAAGGCTCTGCGAAATAGTTTCCAAACACGTCTCCAACAAGTCTGAGTGGCTGGGAAATGCTTCATATGAATGACACGCAATACCAAAATACGTGGGTGAATGGTTGGAGGCAATTCTGGACACAAACAGGCTAGATGTTATGTGAACAAATCGCTCATCTCTAGAAATTCAAGATCCCGGAGGGCCTGATAGGTCTCGGTGTGTCATTCACTTCTCCTCTCCCATCGGAGACCGAACATGGCCACGTCCAGTCGACAGCGAGGTGTCCGGCAACACGGGCTACTTCGCTCAGCCGCATTCAGCCGCACGTGCCGCAAGTGCCCCTTGAAAGGCCCCTGCTTTCGCAGGAACCCGTGCAAACGCACGGAATTGACATAAATGGGACCACTTAGTCACTATAGCTTGGCCTTGATGGTTTTGAACCCAATGGAACCTGTTGCCAATTCCCTTTTGGTGCCAAGGCCAGTTAAAATGTCACCCCACATCCCGACATATCCTGACCCCCTAAATCCCGGGCCTTGACAAAAGCCCCTTGTTCCGACTCCAAGAGCAAACCCTTTCGACATCTGATATACATCGATCATCGAGCTGCTCTTGATATCACGATGGACCATCTTCTTTCCATGGAGGAAGGACACGGCCGTGACGATCCTCGGAGAAGGCAAAGAAAAAGACTCGGACCCTGACTGCAGGCCTTCTGCAGTCCTGAAAACCTTTCCGACCAAAGGCAAAGAACAGCTTGTGGGCGAAATCTCGCCGAAGACCCACCAAGCTTCCCAACAGATCTGACTCCTGATCTGCTCAGTACCACTCCCTGGGCCGTTTTGCAGCTGTGGCACTGCCCCAGGCACTCAGCTCGGGGAGCCCAGGACATGTTCCGCAGCGCGTTCGCGAGGCAGCCGCCCTCCATGAGCGGCATCACGATGAGCTGCTCGGGACCTGCGGTGAGGCGTGTGGCGATGCGTCTCACGCGGCGGCGTGGCGTGGGGAGCGAGCGGTCGAAGGTCTACAGGGCTTCAGGGCTACGGGCCTACGGGGACGGGAGTCGTGAGGCGCAGCGAATTCTTGAGAGAAAGTAGGGTGGTTTATACTTGTGTGTATTCAATTCCTAAAGACGCAAAAAAAAAAATGTATACCAGAAAAACCCTAACCCTAAACACCCAAATACAGCACATGCATATACCATCATAATACAAAAAATCCTTTGACGGGTGCCTTTTCATGATGATCTTCAGAGTCAATGAGGTCACGAAGTGCTGAGAAATCAGATTCTGACCGACGACCGACCAACTAACCCCGATCTTCTCTGCAACAGATGTGATTCCCAAACGCTCCGTTCACAGCCCGACGGGTCCCTCAAAACCGGATTTGAGACCCCACGACCCCTCCATATTGGATCCATGAGCCTCTGGGTTGGGAACTGTCAACAACCCTCAGGTAGTGGTGGTAGTGACAGGGTGTTGGTTTGTAAATGTGCCCTTGCAGGTGAGGATGGTGCACAGAGATTGTGTGCGTGTTGCTGGTGTCTTTTTTGGGGTTGAACAAAGTCAAGATCTCACTAGCCGACCAGAAACTGACAAATAAGAATGACCCCCAGTTCCCTTCTGGCGCTCACACGCACTCACCAATCTCATGCGTCAATCCTTCCTAATCCTTCCTCATTCAACCGTGCCTGTGGTCGCTCGACCCAAGATCTCCAAGACATGTGGGTGCCGACATTGACAGAGTGCGTCCAATTCTCGGTCGAAGTTATAGGCCATACCGCCTATAGCAGCTGGGACCGTTTCAGCGGGCGATTCAGTAACTTCTCTGACAACTGCTCCCTAAAATGGAGCAGTCCTTGAGTTTTTTTTTTGACAGTGGATGTTGGTGATGATTCAGGGTGTATACATGACGCAAAAGAAACAAGCAACTATAAATTGTAATGGAACAAGCTAATGAAACAGTAACCAACTGTATACAAGTAAGTGGAGATTGATGGGTCTTGGTTATAATTACTGTGAAATGTATTTCCTAGATTGGGTTGGAGCCACAGACAAGCAGGACAAGTTAAACAAAAGGTTGCACACAAGTAAAAACAAATAAAATACGGTAGCAGGAAGAGCTACTGTAAATGAGAAGCCATGATTCATGGACATGATCATGGTCTTTTTCCTATGACCATCTGACCATCTATGACCTACACTCAGTCATCTGCCCAGATCCTTACATGCAACTCCTCAACACGAACATACCATCCTCAAACACCGTAACCCCCAGGACCTCGCCTGTGGGTGTCTGGTGGAAGCGCTTCACGGCCACCTGCGCGTCCAAGTCGTGTCGATCCAGTGAGGTCGACTTGGAGAAGCTCTGTGTGATTGTTTTGGTTGTAAATGGTCAAGTCATTAGTATATATATATATAGCGCCACTTGCGAATCTGTCCAAGCCACAGCTCATGTTAAGCAGAGCTTGCGATCATCTAAAGTCATAGTTAATATAATCTAAAACGTTTTAGGATGATGGTAGACCCCCACCATTTTACAGAGCAAATGGACAGTGTATATAATCTACCAGGACCCTCCTGTCAGGGTGTCTATTCATAGCCCCTTAGTCGTAAGTGATTCGGGGTGTCCATTAACCACCCCTTGAAGGCCCTGGTCATGGTGTATACAGTTGGACAGTACTTGTAGGAACTTCAAAAACCTCCTGGTTCTTCTATTGGATCCACTCCACGGATCCCCTCCCCTGAGCTCGCTCGCGGGTCCGCGGCCCGGGTCCGCGCGCGCGGACCCGCGCGCGAGCGCGCGCTCCGCGGTCCCAGCCTGTCCGAAGCGCGTCAAGGAGCCCCGGTAGACCGTGGCCGCGGCACCCTGCGCCGTGCTGGTCGCGAGTGAACCCGGAAAGCGAGAGTCAGATGACCTGCCTAGGATGACTGAGGTGAGGAGAAACAAGACCTGCTCACTGAAACGAAACCATTTTGGAGTGATCCAGCAGAGATGATCCAGGGGATGATCCAGCAAGACCTTTAGCAACAGGGTTTTGATCGGTGGGTGGATGGCTATTCAACCTCCTATACTGCGCTATCTACCCCTTTCACTGTTGTCACATGTCGATGTCCGTGCTCGCGCTGATTTCGGCCGACCGGTGCCTTTCTCAAAGGGGGGAAATGAATCCAACACCCAAACACGACTAATGGGACTGCCATATATGCTGATCAATTGACCCCCCAGTCAACCACCCCAACTGATCGGCAGTCCCATTAGCCGTATTTGGGACATGTTTGGTCCTTCGCGGTCAACCCCGAGAGGAGTCGAGTTACGTTTGGTTCGACTGCCGGACCGACTGCCGGACCGAGAGCCAATGGAAGACCTGGAGACTCACAAAGCTCGGCTTTTTGTGGGTCACCGAGTTCGCACCAGGGGGCTGGAGTGGCCCAGTTTTGCTTGCGTGAAAGTAGGAGCAAGGACGCTACGAACGTAGCTCCTGGCCTTACTACTAGGAGCAAGCAGCTACTAGGAACAAAGGGCATCGCTACTAGGAGCAAGGATGCCGCTACTTTGAAGCTACTATAGTAACTAGTAACAAGAAGACTCCCTCTTTGAAGCTCACCCAGCACCCTCCAGCACCCGAAATGGCTGTGCGGCTGGCGCTGCTTGAGGCATCACATCTGCCTGCCTTCCCCAAGATGTTGGCATCCGACCAGTGGTTGCCTGGGTGAACTGGTGTTCAGTGAAGAAGGACTGGGATGATTGGTCTTCTGATCGGAAATTCCTTGGTTTCTAAGTCTACAACGCAACTATAGATAGAACTGGTTCCAACATGTATCAGGGGGGCAACACAATGAATTGTTTTTTCAGCATGTGGTCGTCACAAACAAGGCTTTTGGTCAGTTCCAGATATGAAATTGGGACATACTGGACCGTAAAAAGAACCTTTATCCTGGGTGATCGTGATGACAATTGTAGGATGCATCGCCACACACCCGTGTATACTTCCCTTGGAGCACAATTAAACAGTATCTTTAGACCGCAAGTTGAACAGTATTGCACCAACAACACCGTGACACAATTGAGAGCCCGATACATGGTCTCCTACCCATCCGAAATGGCAACCCTTCCGCATCTATCTTTCTACCAAACCTTTTGTAGATCTCCAATTTTGCGCTGCTTTGATGGGCGCATACAAGCTTAAGGCAAGGAGGGAAGAGGAACCTCCAATCAACATGTTCGCCTCAGCTACCCTCATTCTCCTCGAAAGCCAAAACGCAATCGGCTCCAAAAGTACCAGCACGGCACAAGGCAGAAGGTTGAGGTTTTCATATATAACAGGTTCGGATTCGGAGTCTGACAACATTCCGAAATAGCAGCATCGCAGGTCATCGCAGGTTTTAGCAGGTTTCTGGTTGAACAAGTGGACGTCAAACGCATCTTTTAAGCGTCAGTGTCCTTTATCCCTTTATCCCTGCAACGCTTTGACCTGTTTGGACGAAAAGCACTCTATTGGTATATATAATCCGCCAAAACTCCATGCATGGCATATGTGCACTTGAACAATACAAACTTGTTCAAACCATTCCAACGTAGGTATATATTATACGCATGGAGTGTCTGGCATGGCTGATTCTATAGGTCTATCAATCTATCAACCTCAAAAAATCCACCTTCTCATCGTACCTGGCATGTGTGCTGTCAGGTGTCGATCTAAAAACAAGAACGTGACACGAAATTGCACATCCAGGTCACATGCATCTTTCAAGTCTCGATATTCCATGAGCTCTCCACGTGTGCTGTCATCGGCAGCGACCACGATCCTAGCGCAAACAAAAAAGAACGCAAATCGAGATGGTGATTTGGTGAGTTATAGTAATTTATAATTCTACATATATATATATATACAGGGAGTGTATATGTTCCCTTTCCCATGTCCTGAAAAATAATGTGTCATATTGTTTCTCATGTCCAGTCTGGCCTTTTCTTTCCATCCGAACAGTTGGAGACAAGCAAGTTTTTGACCCAAACCCTGTGGCAAAAATGTTGGGTCAACCCTGGAACGGCCCGGTTCCCGGGTGACCGATGAATTAGTGGCCTGGGCAGTCTCCTGCCCAAGACTTTCAGGAATGCCTTCCCATGCATGTTCAAGAAGATGTTGATAACTTTACAAGTGTTTGAGCCACACTGAAAGTTTTTTTGTAGCTTTTAATTTGTTGAGTTGGCTACAGAAAGCCTCGATGGTTAAAGAATGCAACTTCGGCAAAGGATTGGCAAATTTGCCACCTGCTTTTTTCCATGGTACTTTGTCGTTTGTTTATGGCTGTCCACCTTTATATGATACTTTTATTTCCTTGCTACTGGTAGCTTCTTGTTACTATATAGTAGCAATGCACTTAGCTACTAGTAGCGTCCTTGTTACTAGTAGCGATGCACCTTGCTACTGTTACTCGTACTAGCTTTGCGTTTTTGCACCTTAGCATGCTCATTCCAGGATGATGTTCGTGGCCGTTCAATCATGACAAACCAGAAGAAACGCTCATGGGTCTCCGCTCCACCGCTCGTTTGGTTAGTTGAGCAGACCAGGTTTGCCCACACAAAGAACATATTATCATATTACTACTAGAAACAAGAAGCTACTAGTAGCGATGCACTTGTTCCTAGTAGCTTCTCGTTACTATAAAATGCCTCATGAGTTCTCTCTTTTCGGATCCAGCGTTTCTGTACCGGTTGGCTGATTTGGTCGAGCAGAGGCGCCCTATCAGGCCCTATCATGCCAACATAATATATATATATACTAAGCATGGAACATGATGTGTTTTTGCTCCCCAAACAGCTTTCGGACTCCTGTTTTGGACTCCCAACGGTCACCAACTGAAAACTGGGATCCGACGACGAAACGGTCATTTCGTTGACGACCCTCGCTCCAAGGCGCATGGACGCCGGCGCGTCCGACTGCTTGCCACCTGCTGACACAAAAAGGCAGCTCATTCGGAACCCACAAATGCTATACGGTCCCACCATGTCAGGGTTTCGCTCATTGAGACATGACCGAATGAAGCAAGCTAAGCAAGTGTGAGACATGTTAACATCAAATTGGCGCAGTCTTGCACATGTTTTTTCGAGAGATCTGATCTGGCTCCTGGAGGCATACAACAGGCATACACCTTTCAGAATTGGAACGGCACTATTGTAAGAAAACTGGGAATTGATCTATGAGACATGGTGCGACTTTGATATGAGATGACCGGTCAAAAGACATTTATTACATGGCCTCCCAGTTACCAGCGAGTCACCAGTGAGTCCTTGCACATTGTTTACAGCAAATGCTACTGCAAGAGATCTCTGCTCTTGGACAAGTCTTGGGGGCGGCCTATAGCTTGGGGAAAGTGTGTGTTTTTTCTTTTGTCCCAAGGGAAGGGTCCTCCATTGCTGAGCCCTCCATTGCTGTGGCTGGTTCCAGTGGCTCGGAAGCGAGCCACGAAAAGAGCACCCCCAAGAAGCAAAGCTAAACAAAACTGGCAGGGACGAAAAAAGCTACAAGTGCTATTGCCCTAAGGATCCAAGTACCCTCTGAGAAGGTGTTTGGGGTGGGTTCGGAGGGGCCAAGTACCTTTTGAGGAGGTACTTGGATCCTTAGAGTTTTGGAGACACCCTGGTTGACCAGCAGGGTAGGAACAGCACAGACGACCAGTACCTGGGAGATCAACCTACCTGGGTTTGAGGCTCGGGGTTTTGACGCCGAACGCCACATGGCCTTACAATCTCTTCCATTCTACCGTAAACGCTCCCCACCTGCACTATCGCTCCTGCCCAGCTGAACCGCTCCACCTGCAGCTCGGCAAACCACAAGCTGCCGACGTTGCTTTGGCTAAGGACAACATCCCACTAAGATCATCTGCTGCGTGTACCCACTCACCAACCTACAAGTTGACCACCAAGGATTGTCTTGTGAATTCCGACCATTGGCGCAGTCCTGTTTAATCTCCTGCAGTTCACATTCTGTCACAAACTTTTGGATTCTCAGGGCTTGGAACATGTGGCTGGATGATGCTGGATGCAGGATGTTAAATGCCTTGTAGGTGTCTTACCTATTCCTGCCAAATTGACTTCCGACCTAGTGTGTCGACTCATAGACTGGTTATGTCAGACGACTCGTGAATAACCCTTCCGATTGGCCCCCCTGCTCCAATCAAGTGTTTTCACTTCGAAATAGCCCGCCTGACTCCACATCCACCGTCTTCCCGGGACCCTTGAGGCCGAAGATTTCTTTCAGCCATTCGCGCTTATAGGTGCACAACTGAGCTGCGGAACACAGGAAGTGAGTGTTTTCAGTGGAACACATCGGGAATTGCAGGGAGAACCTCCACTTGCAGCGGGTCAGTTCCACATTGACTTGCAGTGCTAATGTATTCTGATGTTCATCTGGACCAGGTTCTTGATGACGGAACACTGGTGCCCGTCATGGGAAATGCCAATATAACTGCCGACATCTGTATGTGGGAGTTCGAAAAACGGGTTCATTCCTCAGTAAAAAGCGTGGTTGCAGGAGCAAACGGGTTCATTCTTCCACAGCAACGGCTTCTCATGGGTTGGAGTGATGGCACGATGGATTGAAGCTGCTGCCTAAGTCGGTTCTCCTAAGTCGATGGTTGCAGGAGCTTCTGGCAAAACTCCGGAGCACCAGGTGGGAACGCATTCCCAGTGGAACGGAGCACCAGGAGTTGCAGATCCCTGTGGGTTCCACACCTCTTCCTTCGTGTTTCAATAGGGGGACCTCTCAACTTAATGGGTGCTGGATGGTTCGGGTCCAATCTTCTTCTTCCAACTGGGAGGTCTCATGCGGTCTCCCTTTGAAATACACATCCATTTGGATCCTGCACATGTTCCCAAACGCGTTTGATTTCACAACCTTGGCCGCCGCCCTGTGCCCAAACCGCCCCAAAAGAAATCTGAGCAACTGCCCATGCGATGAGCACCACGAGCACCTGTTCGGTGTATGTCAGCATGTGGGATAGGTTTGGAGGTGTCGACCAAAAACTGCCTCACTTGCGACAAGGAACACATAGAAGCATCTCAGTAGTCGATTGTAGATGCTTTTGCACGGTATTTCACCCAAAGATTCTTTGACCATTTTGGACAAGTTCAACATTAAGGGATGTTTAGAAGTTTAGCAGCAAAAAACAACCAACCAACTTCAGCAAGAACTTAATTATTGTGTATCTTACTGTAGCAGCAGCAACCACCTCCACTTCAAGAATCACTGCGTATCTCCGCCCTTGCACTCGTTTTGACCCTTGTTTGGACTCCTAACTGGTCTATATAACTATTTTTTCATCACTCATCTCATCCCATCGCCATGATCTTCCTCCACGGCACCGAAACCGTAATGCCAATGGCCAAGCGCACCGACATGGCGAGTCACCGCCCTTTTGACCAGGGTCGGGTCGAGCAGCGCGCGGGCGGCGAGTGGGGGCACTTCGACTGCTTTAGCAGGAAGCCTCTGACGTTGGAGCTGGGTCTGGGCTGTCCAACTCTCGCATAGCCCGAGTGAACAGCATGCAAATGTTCTCATTTTCAAGACAAGAACGCTCCTGGAAGGGTCCCATGAAGAGAACTGGATGCAGCAACCCTGCTGTTTGGCTCTAGCTGATCACCATGTCAAGGCCGCACCTGCCATTCACCTGGAGCTGCTAACAGAACTCTCCGATGTCCATAGGAGTTTCATCGTATGGGTGATCGATTCACACACATGCATGATGGTTGCTTTCCTCCATCGACTTCTGTCGTGGGAGATGTGATTGGAGCGGGCTACCGCTTCTCCTTAATTGGAGCTGGAGCCTGAGTGGAGCGAGAGAAGTCCGTCCTCCCAGATCCTGCAGAACTGGACACGCCGGGATCCTCCAACCCTCAGTCGGACATGAACACCAAATCAACATCGGCGCCATGACAAAACCCGGGTGAAACTGGCATGTTTTTGCCATGACTCATCTTCAGCAGAGAATGGTTGCTACAAAACCGTACTGTCATCTACAGTCGTGTTCGTGTTCTAAACGCTCGTTGATCTCAACAAACCTTGGACACATCCTGCAACACCTTAAAGCCTCAGGAATCGGCTGTTCTAGTGATTCGAGTCGAGTGGTCTTCACCGCTGATCACCATGACCATCCCACCATCTTTGAATATCTTTGACATGGGTTTGGTCAATCAAGTGCTTCAGATCCACAAACATCCGTGACATGTTGCCACGCTACTAGTAACAGGTGCCACGCTAGTAGTAACAGGTGCCTTACTAGTAGGAACAAGTGCATCGCTATTAGAAACAAGAAGCTATTAGTAATCATCTCAAAATGAGGACTTCCATTGGTCGGCGCCGGCGCAACCAGGCGCGACCAGGCACGACGTTCTTAGGATGCCAAGATCGAGCCACCGTGGTATTGAGGCTTTGGCCACCGTTGAAAAAGAAAACGCTGAACAAAGTCAACCTTTGTGAACTTTCGATATAACAACTGTTCGGGGTTTCGATTCTAGGAAGCGTTGAATGTAGTAGATCACAGGGTTTGTGACCAAAGGGCCAATGTTGTGCCATATGCGGGAGTTCACCACCGGTGTAATTCTTCAAAAGAGAACGGTCCAACATGATCCAAGCCTACACTGGACTTCAACCACCTCAGGCCACATGTGATGTGCCTAAGCAAAACAGCAGCAATTTCCCAAAAGAACCTCACACCAACATGTCCAATGTCCACATGACCCACCCCACCCACGGTCCTCACGGTCCCACCGGTCCCACCCACCGCTTCGACGGCACCGTGAGACATCGGCGCCCCGAATTCGCTCCGCCTGAAGCTCATCGGCATGACGTTTGGCGGCCAAGACCTGGTCGACCTCGCCTGCAGACTGCGGTGGGTGCGATCCAAGGAGCAAATTGTTTGATGGCCTGAATCGAAGATAAGGTGTTTTTTGTTGGATCATGACATAGTATGACATACCTGGACCATCCTGTTTAGGTGTCCTGTCTGGACATCTATGCCTGGCATGAAACATCTCTAAGTAGTTGGAGATTTTCGCCTGGGTAGTCCAGCTAGGTGACCCCAAACAGGATGGTCCTGGAAAGGTGTTTCCTCTTTTTCCAAGGAAAGGTGCGATCGTTTCAGAACAAGATGTTCGACCATCCCTCAAATTCGGACCCCAGGCAACGAGCTTGAAATGGACAAAATGTGTTCGCTTGGTCTTCGCAGTCTAATTGGACACCTGACTTTGGCATGGTTTGCAGTTTAAGCCAGGGTACAGGATGCAGGTTGCATCAAGTCTAAGAACAAGCAAATCTCGCTGGAAACCGGAAACCGCTGCCTTTGAAACCATCGGTGTACACAACGCATCTTTTTCTGGAAATACATTTGTGTGTGGCGAGGCTCGTTCGTTACAAGTGCAGGGCGTTGAGACTTCAAAGGGAGGAGAAGAGCTCAGATGAGAATCCTTTGTACCTTTGGACTTTTGTTGCCCTTCCTGGCATCCGTCTCAATTGTGAACGTCGAGCAATGCCACTCAACATGCCTGGCTCGACTTCCAGAGCAAAAATTTGACATGGTCTGAGGGCAATGGCGCATTCTCTTGCCATGCAAAAAGGACATAGTGGAATATGTCATTCAGCTTCAGCACCTTGCTTTCATCCGGTCACAATTGCCTTCGGGCCCTAAGAGCCATAGGCGACAGCAAAAACACAAGCCCAAGCTCAATTGCAAGTAGGAGAAACATAGCAATCTGATAGGAACAATGCCTTCTCCTGAAACCATAGCAGCCATGGGCAATGAGCCCTCCTCTTGAGCAGGATACAAGTTTACCCATCACCTTGCACCAACAGCCGAACTCCCGAGCCTTTCAATTGGGTACAACCAGTCATGGTCAAAGAACAGCCGTTTTGTCGTAGCGTCTCAGACTGCTGCATCCATGCGCTGTGTAGATGACAGCCTGGAGGAGCCCATCAATGAAATTCCTTGCCGCAAGCGGAGACACACAGTTTTCTCTTGCTTGCCAAAGTATTTTGCATGCCCCAAGCAAACTTGTCTGTTGCTTCTTCTGGCTGCAACTTGCCCACTGATCGGTTCTTGATCTGCCAGCACACCACTCGCACGACGACATGGTGCAACCATCTATGTATCATGCTGTTCCAAATGCCAATTGAGAACATACAGGTCAACACCATCGGCCAAAAATCTAAAACGAATCTGAATTTGGAACATTTGGAACAATGAATAACCAACTACTACACTTGTCACAGGCCATGGATCTTTGCCCCAGGCTTTCTGTCTTTTCTCAATCTTCCCCCCAGGGAAAGGGATGCACATGTTTCCCATTGATGCCTAGGGCAAAGGAGAAATGTAAACAAACAGCAAAGGGTTCTGTCCGGGTTGTCTATTTTCATCTATGTTCACAGTTGGTTAACTTGAGTTTCGGCCAGTCAATGAGCTCTCCAAAGCGCTTCTTCCGAAGATGTCTATCAGTGACACCTAAGCAGCCCCACACCTGCCAGCGACACCCTTGGCGCTATTGATTCCTGTTCAATTTGCTTGTGGAGGAGCACAAAAAAGAGAGAGAGAGAGAGACAGACACACACACACACACATGACGCCAATACCCATCCAAAATCCAACCTCCCAACATCTGTGCATGCCATATGCACGGTGGATAGTCTGATATAGCAATATATATATACCTCAATCCATGATCTAATTAATCTAATGACCGAAGCACAACTCCAAGAGTTGCAAGTTATAGGTGTTAGTTAGGTGTGTCGGCCTTTGCCGATCCCGCCCCTGAGTTTACCGCGACCACCTCACAGCTACCACAACGAACGCTGCGTAACTGAACGCCCGGTGACTTCGAACGAACGGTGACTTCGAACGAACGCATGCGGGCGGTGAGTGGTACATGAGACCCCCTAAGAGCATCGGACCTGGAAAGTGGCCACCCGGAACTGGTTCGCCTGGTCGGCGCATCGACACAAAAGACGTCGGCCACGATAGTTACGTAGCGCAGCGCTGGTCGCGCGATCGCGACGAAACGCCTTGGGGAGCGACCTGGCGCAGCTCCAAGTTCTCACCTTAGCTCCAGGAGCTGGAGACGGCGAGCCCCAATATTTGGAGCCAAAGACTCGTGGTCCGGTCTGACTCCTTCCCAAAACCGACATGTGAAAACTTTCTAGAAAGCAGCACATGGATCGGTCTGCTTCATGTGGTAAAATCATGTAACAACCAACTATTCATCTGATCCCATCCTTGGACAAACCAAAACACCTGCAAGAGGTCCCTTCTTTGGGTCTCATTTACCCAAAGAAAGCAAAAGATCCGTGACCAAACAAAGCATCTCAGTTCTCACCAAGTCCGACTTCTCAGTCCGTCTTCCAAAGTTGTCGGCGGGCCATGTCCGTCACATGAATCCGCGACGTGATGCGCTTGTTTCGCCGTGAAAACTCAAAAAAAAACGCCTCCAATTCCTCGAGATCCCACACGAAGCAGCTCCTGATTCTTCACCTGACACTCGGGAACCCCAAAAATGGACGTGTCACGAGCAGCAGTCCGTATACGCGTCCGCGGAGAACAGCGGTTTTTCACGAACACCCTACACCCTGTCTGACTCACTTAGGCCGCCGACCGCGGAAGGACGGCGTGAGTCCGTGCACTCTTCTACGCCACGCGTGAAACAGGTAGAATGTCGGGTTGAGGGACGTTTTGTAAGACCTGGGGATTTGGAAGGCATCGACCAATATTGAACGAGCCATAAGCTCCAAACATAGGATCCAATCAAAAACCATCCGAAATCCCCCGTCACCTGCAGCTCCATCATCTGCTGCGCCGCTGCCAGCGCCGCTGTGGGCGCCGGCGGCTGTGGCGGCGATGGAGGAGTGGGGCCTTGGCATCAGAGGACCGACCGAATGACCTGGAGGTCGGTGGGTGGGGAGTCAGGTGAACATGGTTGAACGATCCATGTTTCATGTGGCGGCTTCACAACTGCAGCAGAAGGTATGAGAAGCCTCCAGGTCAACCGGTTCGGCCGTTGCTTCGGCCCGGGGCTTCACAGCTTACTTGTGCGGATGTTTTTGGTTGATCCGACTGATTATCGGTGCGGCCATTGAAAAGCAGAAACAACTGGTTGGATCTTCCGAGGATGGAGAGAAACAGCACCTGCTGTGGATTTGGCCCTCGCTAGCAGGGCACAAGTTTTGGCCTACTTCTTTTCATTGCGTTTGGCGTACTTTTGTGCCTTGCAGTTACTCAAAACTATCCACCTCAAGACCGTTTCTGGGCATGCCAGCAAAAGCTAGGTTTGCACATCGAGATGTGCAGTGTGCAGGATGGAGGCTTGGATCTTGACTTGAAGCTTGAGGATGGGTGCAACCCTGTCGTCGGCTCCAGTGATCAAATAATGCGCATGCAAACTGGAACTGAGAATATCTTTGTTTTGAGTTTCTGAGAGTCGTATTCGTTGACTGAT